GCCCGCGGGTGCGTGGAGCGGGCGTGCGCCTCCGCGGCCACGGGCACGGCGGCCGCCAGAGCCGGCGCGGGGAGGCAGCGAGCGCGTCCCGAGCAGTCACAGTCCCGGACACAGCTCTCCGCGGCCCTGCGGCGGCAGCGGCCGAGCATAAAGTGTGCGTAGGAATACATCAGAATTGCCCAGTGGAATAAGTAACCAGAGCTTTTTTAAATCAGAGCTGGAAACGCTCTGGGCATGTGCTTGCCCTGCTCCCTTCGCAAAGCACTAACTTCGTTCTTTGCCAGTTACACAGCCCTGTGTACTCCGCAACCCTCTTTTCATCCAATTACTTCTATAATTTSTTCTTAGTGTCGACAGAATTGCAACAAAATTGCATATTATTTAAGAGGACGGTCCAATTGCTCATAGATTATTAGMAGCGACATTTTGTGCTTGCTTAAAAAGTAAGCATTTTTCCCATCTTGCAAAGAATTCTCAAAAGATCCCGTTGAAATAGTTGCTTGTCCTATCATCCTCAATGCTGGGCTGAGACGTTTTCCTGGGCCAGCTGACCCAGGCAGCCCAGAAATATATACAGTTTTTTTGTTTGTTTTCTTTTCTTTTGTGGATTTAAAATATTTACACACTTGCTATCTGGCTATCTTAAAATTTGATTATTTAGGACTAAGAAAAGAATTTTGGCTTTTTAAAAAAAWTTTTCTTTGTAGCCAGGGACACTATAGCAGAGATGCCATACCTGCAGAGGTATTTGTAGGGAGCCAGTTTTTCCCATACTATGTGAAAGACAGCAAGAGTACTAGTTGCTAGCTGTCATCATACCTGTCATATGCTTCTGTTTCATATATGGTTAAAGATAAATTAGAATTTAGAGAAGAAATTCCCAGCAGCTCTGTGCCAGGTGGCACAGGATTTGCTAAATTTCCCTTCTCCRCTGTGTTTCCCTCTTCTGCACAATTAGTTGTCTGCTGGGGTTGTATAATTTGAATTATGTGGTTTGTATTGTGCTTCCATTTTTTGGTATACCCATAGTTTGGAAATCTGGTGCCCTTCTTGTCTCTTTCCCTGGTCCTGGATGTGCATTCATCCCTATCCCTGGTCTGCTGTCCTTTGGGATGCTTGGCCTGCTTGCCAATCCTTCTGCTAGGCTTGCTCAGCTCTCTGGTTCAGCAGAAGACTGACCACCTTCTTGATGGGTTGGTTACTRCATTAACTATGGTGATTCCTGGGGAGGTTTTCAGACCTTTAGTGCAAAGTTGAGTAGCAGGAAAGAGGAAACAGGGAAGTGCAGTAGCCAGAGGCAAGAAAAACATGGTTTATTCAGTTGTTTGTAGTGTCATTGAAAAAAAACAACTAGGTGTTTTAACAGTAMATTTCATCTAACTTTAAATAACTGAAAATACTGTGTTTTAAGCACACATTTAAAAGGATTTTGGGAATAGGTCTTATAATTTCTTGAAATGTTATTATCTTCCTGTTTTTCAGGCTGAAGGTGGCCTGTTCTGAGGATCAATTTAATAATCATTTGCTCAGAAAACATCCTGCATTGTTCATGGTAAGGCTTATATTTGATATTTCAAATTTAATTTGTTGTGCTGATGCATTTAGATTTATTTCTTACACATTTTTGAATATTAACTTTTCCTTTAGCTATAATAATTACYCATGAATTGGATTATACATTTACTGAGAATTGCAGTTTCACAAAGCAAGTTTACAGTTTTGTATGACTGAATCAATAAAGGTTTGAATAACAGTAAAGTGTATAACCTAGGGAAACATATATATGTATTCAAAATTTTAAAATCAGTTTCAGAATAATGTTTTTATAATCTAAAGGGCTTTTTTTCTGGTAATTTTATTTAAAAAAGGTGAATTTTTTATTATGTAAATGGCTTTATCTTTTGAGATCTTGTGATTTAGACTGCTTTRTAAAAATTACAAAACTTTTTCATTAATTTGCAGGAGTTTTTCATCAGTATGTCTGAAACCATTAAATATAATGACGACGATCACAAAACTGTGTTCCTAAAAACGTTGAATGAACAACGTTTGGAAGGAGAATTTTGTGACATCGCTATTGTGGTGGAAGATGTTAAGTTCAGAGCCCATAGGTGCGTGCTTGCTGCCTGCAGTACCTACTTCAAAAAGCTTTTCAAAAAACTTGAAGTTGATAGTTCATCAGTAATAGAAATAGATTTTCTTCGTTCTGATATTTTTGAGGAAGTTCTCAATTATATGTATACTGCAAAGATTTCTGTTAAGAAAGAGGATGTGAACTTGATGATGTCTTCAGGCCAGATCCTCGGTATTCGGTTTCTTGATAAACTCTGCTCTCAAAAACGTGATGTATCCAGTCCTGAAGAAAACACACAGTCCAAGAGCAAGTACTGTCTAAAAATGAACCGTTCTATAGGGGAGCCCAATGATACCCAAGATGATGAGGTGGAAGAGATTGGAGATCATGATGACAGTCCATCAGATGTGACAGTGGAAGGCACTCCCCCAAGTCAGGAAGATGGTAAGTCACCAACCACTACCCTGAGAGTGCAAGAGGCAATTCTGAAAGAGTTGGGAAGTGAAGAAGTTCGAAAAGTAAACTGCTATGGTCAAGAAGTAGAGCCTATGGAAACAACGGAATCTAAAGACTTAGGATCTCAGACCCCTCAGGCACTCACATTTAATGATGGCATAAGTGAAGTGAAAGATGARCAGACACCAGGCTGGACCACAGCAGCTGGGGATATGAAGTTTGAGTACTTGCTTTACGGTCACAGGGAACACATTGTATGTCAGGCTTGTGGCAAGACGTTTTCTGATGAAGCACGTTTGAGAAAACATGAAAAACTACACACTGCAGACAGACCATTTGTTTGTGAAATGTGTACAAAGGGCTTTACCACGCAAGCTCATTTGAAAGAACACTTGAAAATACACACAGGTTACAAGCCTTACAGTTGCGAGGTGTGTGGGAAATCTTTTATTCGTGCGCCCGATCTAAAAAAGCACGAAAGAGTTCACAGTAATGAGAGGCCATTTGCATGCCATATGTGTGATAAAGCTTTCAAGCACAAGTCCCACCTCAAAGACCATGAAAGAAGGCACCGAGGAGAGAAACCTTTTGTCTGCAGTTCCTGCACTAAAGCATTTGCTAAGGCATCTGACCTAAAAAGGCATGAGAACAATATGCACAGTGAAAGAAAGCAAGTTACGGCAGCCAATTCCATCCAGAGTGAAACAGAACAGTTACAGGCAGCAGCCATGGCTGCTGAAGCAGAGCAGCAATTAGAAACTATAGCCTGTAGTTGAAAACTAGAGCAGGAACTTTATCTGAAATAATATAAGAAATTCAATGGAACAAAATCTATTGTTGGTATACATTTAGACTGAGAATCTTTTCAAGAAAGCATATTTTTAGAGGATATGAATACGTTATGAATATATTWCATAGGATAATATAGCATTGCTTGGTTAAGTGTTTTAAAACATTTCAGAGATGGGTATTCTTAGAATGTGAAACAGTTTTGTTGTTCTTAGCAGTATAATGCACTAATAACTGCTTTAATTCGAGAATGTGATCAAGTTCTCTATAAAACAGGGGTCATCACTGGGCGATACTTTGCTTCATCCAGTATGGAATACTGAATACAACATAAACATGGCAATCAGTGGGAATCAGTGAGTTATGTTTGAAAATGCTGAGATCTCAAAAATCACAAATGTGGAAAGAAAAGACTTCATTTTCATAATTCTGAGGTGTTAAGCCTACAATTTTTTGAGAAGCAGACATTGATTTCCTAAGCTTTTTAATTCCTCCTTTTTTCACCTAATGTAGGTTGGTACAACAGAGTGTGAAGGAGGACGGTGATCAAAATGAAACTGCTTCTCATTCCATTCCCTCAGATATCCTCTTATTTTTATAAAGRTGGCAAATTTTTAATGCTTTCTTGAAAAAATTGCATTATTCACAGTGATTCTGGCTGGCAAAGCAGAAGTGTCGTGGCATTCACCTATCCCTTCTGTGGGCAAAAAAGTCTGCCTCATTTGTTCTCATGTTCACTTTTATGCAGGGCTCCAGATATGGGCCACAAAGGAAAAAGGGTGCAGCATGCTCCTTACTCAAACCCRGTAGAAATCACTAAAAGCTAATACAGCCTGGACTTTTTTATTATGCTGCTTTCAGTTCACCTAACCTAGCACAGYGAAGGCAGATTAATAGCTGCACCAGCAGGTGACCAGGTGTCACTTCCAGACTCCCAGAGCTGCAGCCACCGATGTCACATCCTGCCCGTGGGGCTCAGCTGAGGTTTGTGTCCTGGCTGGTCATACCAGCTCATAGGTCCTGTTCAAATTTAAAAGGTTCCACCTTCTGACACACCACCTCTCAAGAGGGAGACTTCAGTGAGTGAATTCTGTCATAATCGATCCTGAGTGAGTGTTTGCTGTTAGTCAGTTGCTTAGTCTATTTTTTTTTAAGACCAGCTTGGGTACATGCTGATAATTTTATAGTTAACTCACAAAGTTAACAAGTGGTCTTTGGATTGCAGTCTACTACATGTAGTCATCAAGACCCAGTAACAGTGGCAATGTAATCCAAAGGTATATTGAGCCTTTGTTTTAAATTGTAAATACTATAGCTGTTGTGAAAACTTCGTTTGAAGTTGGAATGGGCATAAAAACACTCTTGGGCACATGATTGGTAACATTGGTCACTTGCGATACCTATAGCATATCAAAGTGTTAGACCAGTTTCTGGTAAGTTACTGTGTGGTAGATCACATCTTGCTTTTCTAAATAGAAATTTAAAATAGTGGTTTTGGAACTGTTATATGGAACTTTGATTATTGAGGGGTTTTTATTTGGTTGAAGTTTTTTTTACAGCTTCATTTTATTCATGTATTCATCAGGTTAAGCAGTTATCTTAAAATGCCAGTAATTGTTTGAATGCTGGTCTGTAAATAAGACATGACCTTAATATTTTAGAAAATGTAAACTTTGGACCTTTACCAATATATTTTTTTAAAATGTTGCTTCATTTTACATTCAGTAATATTAGTTTGTAAACAAACTATACATTTTGTACCTGTGCAACATCAGAGGATGTGTATTCATTGCATTTTATTGGTTCTCTTGAGGAACATGATAAATGACCATTGTTAAAATGTTTTACTGTATATGATCATAGATATAAAGATAGTTGGTCCAAAATAGGATCTACTTTTTTTTTTCTAAATATATTAGTCTTGCTATGTTTTCTTATCTGAAATTGTGTGCACTTCTTCCTAGGTAAATTGGGGTTGGTAAGACTGTACAAAACAGATCTGTGATAAGAGTTTTAAAGTGTAAAACATGAAGAAAGTAAATTTTCTCAAGGTTTTCTATGAAGAGTGCAAGAAGCAATGAGCTTAAATTACAGCAGTAAACAATTATGTTTAAAAAAAAAAGCAAAAAACTTTTAAAGGATTTGATAATGAATTACTAAAACAGAATGCCTGGGGAGGTACTGCAATCTCCGCTAGTGCTGACATTCAAGAATGGGTTACACAAACATCAGTTAGAAATGGTTTAAATATGATAACTTCTGCTTTGAAGCTGAGGGGTAAGCTGAATATCCCCTCAAGAAGAGCCTCATAGGATTTTTTTTKGAAAATAATAAATTAAAATGGAACTCGCTGGGACAGCAGATGCTTGAGTGGAAGGACAGAACTCAAGTATTACAGTTAAAGAAAATTWCCTCTGCAGTCAAAGAAAATAGACCCTGACTTTTGAGCACAAGTAGTCAGGCTGTGAATTTGAAATGGTTATAGAAGGGAGGCTTGCATGAGAAGATTCACAGCTGAAAGTGTGATAACATTCTGTGTTACATCAGAGTAAATTCTGCTGTTGTTACGGCTTACATCTATAAGAGTTACAAGCGTGGAGGCCTGGAGGTATCCTTAACTATTTACACATTCTTGTTAATGTGCTCTAAACTCATCTGTATATTCTGAAGGAATATCAGCCTGTATATTGTGGRGGTGTGTCTGTGAAGTTCAGGTAGATCTGTCTGCATCTTATGACACTACTGCTCCCATGTCTCTCCTGTCTGTGCCAAAAAACACCATGTGCAAAAACAGGCGTGTGTCAGCTCCAAGCCACGGAGGTTTTCCAGCCTGATAAACTATAAGCTGTGTAAGCTGTGAGCTGTGTCAATCGAGGAATGGGCAAGCTTTTGTTTTTGCTTTGACAGGGGTGACAACTTCTTTTGGAGTTTGAAACAGTGGAYGATTCTGGCCAAATAATGGGAATTTTGCTGTTGACTCTACTGGGGCCAGACTAGTCTAACATTGCTTAGAAGGCTTTTTGTTAGGATTTTTTTTTTTTTTAAGAGAAAAAGGAGCATAACCCAACACACTTTGAACTGTGGTGTCTGCTTAATTTCCCAATTGTTATAGCCACTGGTATGCTACTGTTTGTTTGGCAAACCCAGTTTGGAAACTAGAAGTTCAGGAAAGAATACCTTTCAGAACTTCTCCACTCCTCAACCCTTCTTTTGAACACTTTTCTTATCAATAGTCAAAGAAATATTAGAAAATGAAGCATCTCACAATTGAGTGAGTATTTGTGGTTTTGTTTTCCTGCTTTAATCTTTTACAAAGGTTTAGACYTGGCAATTAGGTCTAAAGGTTGTTYTGTGAAAAGCAATTCCTTAAGCTCATGTCAGTAGCAAAAGTTTGAGGTCAGCTTCTATTTGTCATGTAAGCTACAGAATACTAAGTACTCCTCAAAGTCTTGCAATTTAGGTAGCCAAAGTTAAGTTCTTGTGAAGATCCAGCCTCAGTTTTCTAATATCGAGATTACTTTCATGATTCCATTAAGTACGGATATTTTTAAAAGAGTTGTGTGAAATACAGAATGAAATATCAGATGATATCAGAAAGTCTACCCTAAGGCTAGAGTATATTTTTAGGGACAGATTATCTTTTATTAAGTATTTTATTAATATAGACATGTCTAGTGTTAGGGAAGAGACAAAGCATTTATGAGAGACACTACATCTACTGCYTCCAACAGATGACTTTTCTGAATGTAAACTTCTACAGATAGGTACAGAACAGGATCATTCTGCCAGGAAGGTAAAGATAGATCTAAGGAATTTTCTTTTTTTTCAGTCCTTAGATCACAGTAGTGTGCCCAATCACCCAGAAACGTGCACATTTCATTAAAAATTCCATTACAGCAGTTGGTCTGTCATTTGTCTTCATATAGATCTAAAACAATTATAGTAACATTCTTACTCATTTCAGAACAGATGGAGGATTTCCATGAATAGATTTGTTAAATATGTGTCATGAGAGTTGAGACACCTATTCTCAGGAAGTATTTTTAAATGTAGTGCAAAAAATCTGTAATAACAGAATAGCTAAAAATAGTGATTTTTGTTTTTATATTGATATATTTTTTAGTGTTCTCTCCAATGTCTTTCTGTATTATTTACATGCCCTTCTCATTTAGTTATTTATAGAACTCTGAAACTTGGTGAACTTCAGTGGTTCCAATATGAACAGCACTGCAGCTCTTTAAAATAGAAATWATATTTTTGAATCTGGTTAATGTGTATTTTTGAATTTACTGGCATTTTTATTGTTCAGTAGCTAAGCATCTAATTTTTATAGGTAAGCCTGAAAAATATGTGGACCATATGAATAAAGATGTACTACATCTGACCTGTTTGGTGTATGGGTATCAAAAACTATGGCCAAAGCAGAACTTCTGGATACCTGTATCTTAAATTCCTTCCATGATTTTTTTTTTTTTTRTAAGTCTGTAGTTCGAGAGCATGAGTTTGTAAAGTGAGTAGTACTAACAAGAAATTAGAATTCTTACTGAACTGAATTTCCAAATGCGTTTTCTATAATACTGAGCCATTTTGAAGAAATATAAAGGACAGTAACTACATGCTACATATTATGCAATAAATAGATTTAAAGTAGTATTTTCATTCAGAAGTAAATTAAGTGAATAGATATGATCCATTGAATATAGATCATCTTAATGAAATCATTAAATCATGAGAGCTCTTTATAGCTTTTCCCACTAAAGCATGAAAATTTTTCTTATGTTTGGAAAAATGTATTTTCTGGTGTAAACCCATTCTGTTAAAACAATAACCAAAACCACCCAAACCCTACAGTGCTTACATTTGTAGTTTTCTGACTTTCTCCCTGTGGCCTGTCTATACATTTCAGTAATCTGTATATGCAAGCGACTTAGTGTTTTTTTCTTTTAAAATATTCTAAATGCCAAGCTTTCCTGCATCTAAGTTTTCCTTCTTCACTGGGTTTTTTTTTTCAGGAAAGAGGGTACCACAAGCAGTGCTTACAGAAACAAAGCACTGTAGTGGAATTGCAAATTGCTCAGACAGGAGAATGGAGCATAGTGGAGCTCCACTGGCTCCATTGGTGGAAATTCCACTCTGGTCATTGGAAGAGCAGCATCAATTTAGAGCAGCTTAAGCTATTGTAGAGCTGCCTCCTGAGACAGCAGCTTTGTGTTTTGACTGCCAYAGTGAAACTGCAAATTGTTGCTAAAAGGGGTAATCCCATTTTCTGCTTTCCTTTCTTGCTGTTACCTTCTCACCTGTTTCTTCCCTCTTGTTTGCCTCGAATTTAGTGACTTTTGTGGCTTTAGAATAAGCCAGTAGAGTAGTCTTATATAAGAGAGCAATTCAGTGCTTAAGGGAGATAGTTTTAAATTGACCTACCTCTTTGAGCAAATTCATTAGGTTTGATCCAAAGTAAGTTGCAGGAGCACACTGCTGGAGTTAGGAGAAGGAAGGGAGCAGGACTTGCCCCACTTTGGCACCACATTAAATACAAGGTGATGAAACACAGCACGTGCTGCACAGTGTTTGTGAGAAGCAGCCAGGCAACAGAAYGGATCAGACATCACTTCTTTGCAACATCCACTGCTGATAGACTTTGGGGGATTTTGAGGAGGGAGATCTATGTGTGTCATTTCTGCTTTTTAAGGAGAATGGAAYTTGGGGGTTGAAGTTGAGTGGGCTTTTTTTCTCTTTCTTTAATTGTTTCAATTAATCTGACCCTGTTTGCCTCTTATCTAACAGTTCTACRCAGCCTTGAATTGCTCAACTTAAGKAGAAAAGAGTTTTAAAWAAAATACAATAGGTATTTAATTCACTGAAGGACAAAAYTGGAATCTAMAAAGGATGAAAAAATGCATTTTTCAACATAAATTAATATTTTCAAGTCTTGGAGGTAAACAATATTCACAGTTATTTACATAGAGTCTTTTAGATCTCTTTTAGATCACTTGCTGGGTAAAAAGAACCACTCTTGTTAATGCAAGTAGTGTAAATCTAAAGTAGAGGAATAGTTTCTATATTTCATTAGGTGGTGTCAGCTAGACAGATTTTATCATAACAATTTATTTTTCTGTCTTCTGAGTTTAGGGTTCTGTGGCAAACCTAAGGTTTTCAAATGACTGATTTTGATTTATTTCCATGTATAAGTATGAATCCATTTAAAGGCCTGAATATACAAATTGTGGGTTTTCTTACAGTTTGACTTGATACTTGACAATGAGTTTTAAATGTAGTTCTGGAGTTGTGTAGCTGAGGCTCCAGAAGGTATTCCTTATTAAGAGTTGCCTTATTTCAGTGTAAAGTTCTTCCCTGGAAATGAATTCTGTTCTCTGATATTTCTCAAGGTTTTCTATGTTTTTACAAGATTTTTTTCCCATTTGAAGCAACAGCATTTGAATGTTTTCTTTTTATAAGGTGCCTTATTTTATATTACTGATATTATTGATTTTGATATTTTACTAACTCATCCAAATTCTCCAGTAGGACTTATAACAACCATGGCCACTATATTCTTGCTCTGAAGGTATAAAAGAGAACTTATACCAGGATTTGGAGATGTGAACTTTGTAATGGCGGTGTAAGGTTTAATCTTTTAACTTTTCAGCATTGTATAGGAAACCTTACACCCCTGAAAAGCAGTAAGATCTCTTTGGCTGCTTGTATTGAAAAGTTGATTTTTAAAAAAACATATGCATATGTGTATTCTAATTGTGTTTCTGGATTTGTTTATCTTAGATCAAATAACAGAAAAAGGTTCAACTGTCCATTTGGGAAATAGGAAGGAGCGGCTCTACCCTTTTGTATTTCAGAGGAGTTAAAGGTCTGAACATAACTGGGCTTGGTTACTAGACTAACAGTTATCTACAGCTCTGCATATAGTGACAAAGTAAAACTTACAGTTTTGAAAGAGTCTGGCAGGTTTGTTTATGCTAAGGTTTTGCAATTCAGTCTGCACAAAAAAAAACTACCCTGAAATACATGAGAAATTCTTGAAAATGTYATTGCTGCCATCATAAACAGAGGTATATCATGTTTTAATTGAAGTGAACAATTACCCATTTTAAAAGTGTTAGTCAATGTTTTCAGTTTGAAGCATGGATTTAATTTTCCACTTCTATAATTAACTTTTCTTTTATCCAGCTGTGTGACTTTCTTGTAGATCTCCCATTATTTCAAGGACAGATTAAATGGAGTCAGACGGGAGCTCTGATTTGATGGATGTGATACATTCTGCTRGAGAAGGATTGTCCTATTATAGATACTTTCCAATTGGACATGGATTATGCTCTGAGAATCTTGCTAACCTAATTTAAAGTTTTAATACTCTAGTGTTTGAAATCTTTTCTATTGTGTCAAGTTGATGTTTTCAAACAATTCAAAATTCATATATTTTTCTTCTTTGTCCACATAATTTAATTTTTAGCCATGCATTATGAAATCCCCATTCTTTTGATTTTATAGGACAAGTTAGGAAGCATTGTGTATTTACCATTTGTATTTCATATTTCTGCAATTCAGTATTATTTCCTGTTCTCAGTTCTTGAACAATCTAAGCTATTTAGTAGCACATTCAGGTTATGACTTTGCCTTTTTTTCTTTTCTTTGAGCATTAAATTAAGCATGTGGTTTAACATTTAACATTTACATTTATCAAAATGTATAACTGATTGATTAGGGACTCTAATAGTATTTTTTGCAAGTTTGGAAGTATCTTCATTTGTTCTAAAGCTGACTTTTCTTCTCCTTAGTTTATTGGCTACCTGTTTTGACATGGTTTATAAATGCTTCTGTCCTTCTAAGTTCTTTGAAAACTTGAGTAAATGCCTAATTTTATGACCTGTGTGTCAAGTTACGGGCACCAATAAGCTGTGGCAAATCAGAGTTTTAAAGAAAAAAGGAAAACACATCGAAAAATAATAATTTTTAGTGTAACGATTGTTGTGCTGATAGGAACAGGAAAGGTTTGAAGATGAGAATTTCCCCTGAAGGAGACTCCCAACCCATCCTGTGCACTTTCAGTATGGTGCAGCATGGT